CCAGTGATAGAGTAGAGATGTATCATTGGCCCGTTGCTGTATGTTATTCACGATATTTATTCTCAGTGTACAACATGAATCATAAAGATCCGCTAGTACTTTATGTCTTAAGTGGTATCTCATTTCCTATACCGCTATCCATTTTGTTTTAGTTTTGTATTTTCTATTACATGATCATTAATAAACAACAGCTTAAATCCAAAAAATAAAGTCACCTGCTAAAAAGAACTTAAAATGTGCTTTTCAGCAGGTCAAAAACCAACTTTAGTGCTTCTGGTTCCTGTGAATTTTAATTGAGAATAGAATTCTTTCTAATTCTAATCAGTCATTCTCAATTAAATTAATGACATTGTCTTCGCTTTCAATATATTTCCGTTACACCACTCACCCACATGGCCCACAGGCGCAGGAAAGAATGTATAGAATGAATAATCGGCAATTTTCTCACAACTCTTCTCCAATTCACATTCTCTTTAATCAGTTTTTACTTTTCAACAGAGATGACGAATGTGAGTACGACTACTCTGTCACCCCTTATATCTCAATTGAATTCCATCAACTCGGATTTTAATCGTTATATTCCTATACCGTTGTTGGTATTAGGAACATTGGGAAATATATTCAACTTAATTATGTTTCGGCAAAAAGCACTACGGGTTCTATCATGTTCTATTTATTTTTTATCATCAACTGTGTGCAACTTTTTTGCTTTATACTCTGGTCTTATTACACCCTTTCTCAGTTTGTATGGCCTTGATCCAACGGTCTATTCTGCGGCATTGTGTAAAATACGATATTATATTCGTTATACATCCATTACATTATCGTCATGGTTTACTCTATTAGCATGCATAGATCGTTTTATGTCAACTTCTCAGAATGCAAATGTTCGCCATTATAGTAGATTACCCATAGCCTATCGTGTGACGCTTATTACCGTCTTGGTTGGTATGACAGGTCCATTTACACAAACATTCTACTGTTACGACCTGATCAATAAATCATGTACAACTCGCGATACTCCATGCAAACTGCTAAATGATATCATGCTATTATCATGTCTTAGTTTCGTTCCGCAAATCACTATGGTTGTGTTTACATTTCTAACCATCAGAAATGTGAGAAAGATGAGAATGAGCACAAGACGATATGATGTTAAATTGGTTAAAATGTTACAAGTTCAAGTCATTGTCATGGTTATTTTCTACTCGATACCTGTTACCGCTCAAAAATTGTATGCTGATTCAACAGTATATGTCACCGGCAAGTCAGTTCTTCGTATAGCCTACGAAAATTTAGCTCAACAAATATCAACGGAGCTATCGCACATTAACAATAGTATTGCATTCTACATTTACACACTCAGCGGGACAATATTCAGAAAAGAACTGAAGCGAATATTCTTATGTAGAAAATCGAATGAAGTTTCATCTGTTCAACTTACGGTGCAACAAACTAAATAAACGTGATGGTACGATTTAAAGCCAAAAGAAACTCAATTTTTTAGTTTCATGAACGTTTCTCTCCTTTTCTGTACATTCAAATTTTTTCTAAATGGTGGCCTCTGTAGGAAATGCGTTTTTCCTCGAAAATTATTTTTTTGCTACCGAGCTTCACTGTGCCACATTACGACCGCCCCTCCCCCCCCCTTAGACTTCATCCGATCGAGTTAAACATTTCACACAACATTTCAGACACTCACTATTGCAGAGGTAGTTTTTTGAAATTTTACTTTACACTTTTCTTTAGCGAGTTATAGGGTTTCTAAAATTGAATAACTTGGTTTTCGAGAAGCTTTTCAGTATTTCTTCTATAACTCGACCATGAAAGGTCTTAGAAAAATTTGCCAATATTGTCTGCCGTTTTGGTAGACAATATTGACTGTAAAAGTTCTGTTGCTTCTTCGATCGTTATCCACAACGGTAACTAGAAAAACAGCTGTCGTTAAAGTAAGGATAACTGTCGTTGCAGATAGCGTTAAACCAACGGGAACTGAAAAGCCAGTTACCGTTACTTTAACGATGACTGCGTTTCCCGTTACCGTTGTAAAAACGGAAAGTATCAGTTAGTTAACTTTATGGTAACTGTTTCTTTCTTATTATTATTCTGAATTTCTCATAATCATATTTTGAAAATTAAGTTATGAAAATAAAAAAGATTTCTCGAGCTGGCTGTGGGTTCTGAGGTCTCTAGAGTCCTCCTTTAAAGCCGCAGTTACGAAACATTGAAGTTATACATACATCTACCATAAAAACTTAGAATAAACAGACAACCTTTTTCCCTTTTCTGAAAGAAAGGGTCTACAACGCAATAATGTTTATGTGTCTGTATGTCTGCCCAACCAATCCGAAACGAGCTTTCCCTTTTTTTGTTTTCTCTGTGTTTTATACAAATATCGCTGTATAAGGCCAGGAACTCGAATCTATAAAATGGTCACCCCAGTGACCATTGGAGTGGAAGGCCATAAAAGAGTTTTCGTATTTATTGTTTTTGTGCGTATATTCAACGCTTGGTGTTATATGTGTAATACTGGTTGACAACTGTGAATAGAGAAAGAAACTTTTCATGTCATAGGAAAATAAAATAAATATAGGCGAGCGACATTACGATAATAGTTTAATGAGCGAACACTTATTCATATTTTAGATGAATAAGTGTCAAGATTTTAATCTATTTTATTTACAATTGATATTGATGTTCGAAATCAGAGAACTCTTTCATATGGAAATATTTCGAATTTAAGTCAGTTTCCTGAAGGATCTGAAATTTTATTTATGATTGGTACAGAGTTTCAGAAAATCAAAGTTTCATATGATAAAAATGAAAATATTTGGATAATTAAATTCAAGTTGGGACAAAACAGTATGTTTAGAGTTGATGAATATCATGAGCGATTGATTAAGAGAAGAACTTTAAAAAATTCCGTTAGAACACTTACTCAAGATGACTCACAATTCAACCAATTTTCATCTTTTCAGGATAGAAATCTAATATTTAATGAATTATTGAATTTACATCCATCAGAAAAATAGTTTTTAGCTGTTAAATATTTTTCTGAAGGAAAATCTCAACATTATAAAGAAGACACAGACAAACACGCAAAATTATTGAATTTTGAAAAAGCATCGGAAATTTGGTATGAATATACAAATGATCATGAACTAAATTTTTATGTAGATATTGCACAGATTCATAGAGAACTTTTTTGGTACACAAATGTACGAGAAGATTTAAATATCTATAGAAAGCATTATGAGTTAGTGATTAATTATTATCAGTTAGCCATTGATAAAGCAGTTACAGATTATGAAACATTTTTTATATAGGTTGGGTTTAGTTCTGTATATAAAATTTACTTTATCGAGAATGGAGATAAAAGAGAAGAAATTTGTTTAATGACTATTAAATACATAGAATTATGTCTTGAACTTCTGTTAAAATACCGTTCATCGAATGATTTTATAACTGGTAATATTTTCCAAGCATTAGCTCAGCTTTATAAATTAATACCAAGATATGATGATGCTTTGAATAATTACGACGAAGCTCTAGAAATTTATCTACAACAGGCTGCATCTTGTCATCATGGAATTGAAATGTCAATAACTGAACGTATAGTTTCTATTTATACTAAATATAAAAATGATTATCTTTAGCACTTAAATACCAAGTAATAAAACATGAATATAAATTGAAATTACTAGCAATAGAACCAACAATGAATGATGAGGGTGAAATTAATTTGAAGAAAAAACAAATAGCTGATAGTCATATTGAATTAGCTGATATTTACATCAAATTACAACAACATGATTTAGCTTTTGAACATTTAACAATAGCTATAAATTTCTATAAAGAAACTAAGAATTCTAATTACGAAGCCATTGAAGAAAAAATGAAAATTGTACAGACCTTTCTACAATAAACGTCTTTGTTGTCAACCAATAATTATGCTAAACGATTAACGGTAGAACAAATTTCTATCCATGCATAAAAAGAAGAGACACTATTGTTTATTTAATAACTTTTGACAAGAAAGACCTAGAGATCGGCGATTTTTAAGACTGGACAGTTGATGCAATGAGTTTATGAAAAACTAAGGTATCCAAGGAAGATTTACCATGGTGTACCTTTCGAAGAAAAATGTGCGAGCGCCATTTGAAGAAGTTAATTACGAGCGAAGATGGCTAGTTGACACCCTCCGATTTCGATGATCTTTTGCTAATTGATACCATATGAGGTCTTAGTCTTAGCTTCCAACGGATTTTGCTCTATAGCTCTTCTTTCAAAAGTTATGAAGTTTTTAAGATCGGCCACTGGAGATTCTAATTCATTATTGTTTACGTTCCAAAACTCGTTGCTAACCAGCTAAAACCTCTTCAAACACCTACTGATATAGAGAAAAATGTTGTCTTTTCAAAATGAGACGTTGCTGGGTTCTGTGTGATATCCTCATCAAAACTCATAAGCATTTTTCTAAGAGCACCTAAAACTCTGCTTTTCAAAAATAAAGATTCTGTTTCTCCGCCAAGACAAGTGATGGAATAGGGATTTGTTCATTCTATGTAGTCTACTGCACGATCTATTCGATAATGCGATCGGATCGTTTTTACCTCGGACCTTCACTCCGACACCGAAGATCTTCTGAGGATCTTAGGGGTTTATATTGTTTGACGCCGTTCTCGTGCGTATGGCGTAAGTATAAAACGAGATGCACTTTTTCATAGACATTCAAGTGTGCAGGGAATTTGAGTATATGACATCGAAATTTCTCTTTCGAATATAATAAATCCATGAATTATCTGATGTTTGAAGTTAGAGCAGAGAAAATCGTAAACTTTAGTAATCCACAATCCATTTCAAAATAGAATGAAAAAGTTATGTTTTTAATAACTTTTTAAACAGAAAGAGCTAGAACCATGCGGTTTAGTGCATTTGATAGAGGAGCTACTGGGAAAGAAATCTATGGAGAAATTAGGTCTTCCGATCAGGTCTACCATCGTATAAAGATCACTAGTTCTGACAAATTTAAACATCTTTCAGACAAGACAAACTTCATTTTTTATCATTGATTAATATCATTTCCAGTATTATCAATCCACATTCGAAATTTAAAATGTATTTCCTTCCGTTACCAAAGAAAATATTTCATCCGTCTAAAAAAGACAAGTACCTGTTTGTTAAACTAATCTTCTTCGAAACTGGCTTATTTTTGTTCGCAAATCAATCAAGGAAAGCGCGCGCACGTTAAGTCAAATTTTGATCATAGAACTTTCTAACTGATACATGATTCCAAACACTTTATTCTCCTTACAGGAATAACAACAAGAACACAAAAGAGCAAACAAAGTTAATAGATCGATCATTCGTTTTTTTAAAAGTAGAAAATTTCATTCTTAACTCAAAGATTATGGAGCGAGAAACTACACAAAAAACTTAAGCTTCCCAGTTGATGACACTGTTCAATGCTAGTCTGAGACTAGCAAAACACATATTCTTTAATTTAACTTCTTGGATAGACCTAAAAAAATTTTGAATCAATATCATCAGAGAGGTCAGTGAAATATGGCAAATGATGCGACTTATCTATTGCTTCCAGTCAAATAACTGACCCTGTAATAAACAAACAACTTACCAGTCGCATTCCAACAAATTCTGCCAAATTGAATAACGAGATGAAGACATCTATTTGATCTCTTGCTAATGCTCCATTTTTGTTCGATAATGCTAACACGACCGCTCTGTTTCGAATCATCTGAAAATACCCCAACGTTAGTTGTTCAGGAAACTAGTATATGGGACAATATAAATGACTTAAGGGTCTCCCCCTCAGAGACACTTATTTAGAAAAATTTTCAGTTTTGAGTTACACATAGTGCATTATAGAGCGAAGTGATCTTCTGTCATGCTTTTTTTTCTGTATTTGATTACGGATGCAATACTTTTTATTGAAAAATCATTTCTCAATCAATTCTCTTTATGCCCTACATACATATCCTGTGCCCATTCTTAATCGTTACCCATTCTTGTGGATTTTATGATCAGACTCAGCGGAGTTCTTTGTCTCCATCAAACGTTGCCATGCTGAATACAGAACCCAGAAAACTGGCGTGTTGCACAACAGAGTTCTGTCTTATTTCACCCGCTCGTGCAGGAGGAAAGTGCTGGAGTGTTCATTCTTCTTTTTCTGTGTTTGATTACGAATACAATATGGCTTTATTTTTTATTGAAAATGCAATAGACAATACAGGAAAGAAGCCAAAATCATAGGTTAGTCAATGTAGCCACGAATCTTTGCTAATTGTGGCAATTATACATCTTTGTAGGCAGTTTTTATCCAACAAACAATTGTAGAGCACGACGGATTGACAGGTTTACGCGTTAACGAGTTGCACCATGCCAGCCATTCTTTTGACCGATCTCTAAACGGTTGTCGCTTCCCTTCACTTAAGCTGGTCCGGTTTTTGTCACATAATTGGAAAGCTTCGTTCCATGAAAGATCGATTCCGGTCAACTTTTTTATTAATTCTCGATATTGAAGAACATAGAAAAAGATTGGAGAACGACGATGAGTGTACATTTGGAACAACGTTGATTAAATCTAAAAATGAAATTTAAAAAGTATGGAAAAGTTCTTCCACTTGAACAGAAACATTAGGTATTTATTAGTTGTTTATTCTACAAAGCCACATTTTTGGAATATGTATAGAAATACATGTAAACTACCTTCTTACTAACGGATGGCTAAGAGAAAATCGGACACTTTTATTTTATTTTTTTATGGTATTTAAAGAAAGTTTAAAGACTTGGCTCTACGCCGATAATATAGACAATTCGATTCACAAGTTATATATTTTTACAGAGCACTTAATTTTATACTCAATAGTGCAAAACTGGAAATTTCAAAATCAAATTTTAGGCTTAAAAGCCTGAATCTTTCTTTTACTTGCTAACAATCACTAGAAAAAATTAGTTTTAGATCTCTGCAAGCTTAAGATATAATAGACGGAGTCTCCAAAACGAGCTACGACGATATTATCCTTGGCCCAGATATCCGTTTTTAAAACAATATGATTTGGATTAATCGTATCTTCAACTATTTTTCCGAACAGTCCCAAAAGGTATGTTCGATAAGTCCCGTTCTTCCATTGACCCAATCTTACAACAAATCCAGCATTTGAAAGAATGTGTACTGAGCAAGTTGTTTACCTGCCTACTAATGACATCTTTGCCACTATTAATGCTCACTTTTATGTTTTTCTTTAACCATAAGTGTGCGTTTAAATTAGAATCAAAATTGTACTATTTTATTTCTAAATATTGATTCTAAAGAAAAACGTTTCACCCAATCATTATCCATGAGCAAAGTTGACAGGCAAATCATTCTGACTCAGAAAACAAAAGACATGTACGTTTAACGAAATGTATGAATGGTTACTTGCACGATCTCACCTCTATATATGAGTCAAAGTATTTGTGTAGCTAATGTATTACAAAACATGAAGAACGAAAGAAAAAAAGTTTTCTATTCACTTTCACTGCACACTACTGTGTGTTGATGCACAATAAAAATAAACTATTCTACCATCAAAATTTAAACGATAAAAGGACAGAATAATCATGTTTTTGAATGATTTTCCAACAGAAATATTAAATCAAATATTCACACATTTATCATTTATTGATCTTAGTTATTGTGCTAATGTTTGCCAAAGATGGAATTCAATTATTATTAATTATAATTATTTGAGTACATTTAATATTGAACAGGAGATGAAAATTCCTCATGAAGAAAATCAAAATGCATCAAGTTTTCATAGAAAACTGATTTATCGGCCAGTAATATCAAATTTATTTACATTTGTACCAAATTTAAAGTATCTACGTATTATTGTTAAAAAAGAAACGGAAGAATTAAAGATAGCAAAACAACTTTTACAAGTTCAAGGTAAAACGTTAGAAAAAATAATTGTTGATAGTCCACCATATTCGAATGATCAACCAGATGGTAGATTTCATGATGAAACTGATTTAATTCATGATCTAACAGATGAACTTATTACACCAAATCTACGCGAGTTAATTTTGAATGCTCGTTTACCTATTGTCAGCATTTGGAATGAGAAATCAAGACAAATTATTAGAAAAGTTACAATTGATGTTGGTCATCAAGCACCAAGTAACTGTTGGTCATGTTATTATTGTTTTGGAAATTGGTTAAAAGTTTTCAAAATGTGCGGTGGCATGGTAATAACTGATAATAGAGCTGAGGAAGATGCTCCATTTTTCTCAATATCGAGGGATGTACAAATTGATTCAACAAATATAAAATCATTTCCACTTGTTGAATATTTATCATTACGAACAAATATATTCGAAAATCGGAAAGAATTTGTAGATTTACTATTGAAAATATTTCCAAATATAAAACAATTTGAGTTAGAAACATGGACGGAAGAATATTCCTGTTCTATTGATGTTATAGTAGACAATTTAATCAATTTAGAATATTTAAAAGTACGTGTTTGGTGGTGTTGTGGATATAAATATCAACAGTATAGTTTAGAACAGTTGTACATTAATGATAACATTGTTTATAAAATTATATCCAAATTACCAAAACTATTGTCAATTGATTTAGAAGGTCATCTAGAATTTTCTGACACATGTTTAGAAACTTTGAACAATAATAAAAATCTACAAAATATTATATTAAAACATGGTGGTATCGCTGGACATAAAATAAATGATAAATCATATACACAACCAATAATTCATTTTAGTGAAAATGCTTTGATAGAATTTGCTAAAAATCATCCATTATTAGAACAATTAGAAATGAATATTGGTCAATCAATAGTACCTACAATAGAGTTTCTCACTAAATTTATTCAACATTGTCCAAAATTAAAAATTTTAAAACTATATGTTATTGAAAAAGATGTATCATTATTAGTAGATGATAAATTCAAAACCAGTTGTACGCAATTAGAAACTTTTTATGTTGGAAAATCAAAAGAGTAAAACTTCACCAATTTTATTAACAGAAAAACACTGAATTGTATAGAATTGAAAGACTAAGATTTTTTGTAATAAAAACATGAGTGAATGAATTGGTGAGATGTAGGATGAAATGAATATCTGCAGTGGAGTATTATAGGATATCTTAGCTACAGTCTGTGACCACCCCGTTGGAACATTTAAATAACTTTAAATTAATGTACACTAATTTCTGATTCAAAAAACGATGGAAAATGACTTCACATCAATTTAAGAGACCAAATTAATTTAAATTCGTTTGTAGGAAATTAGTTTACATCAATTTCGCAGTGAAAATGAACTGAAATTAATTTCTAGGTTAAAATTAGTTCCAATTAGTTTGAAAAGACATTAATTTAAATTAGTTTTAACTAAACTGGTCTGAATTAATTTATTTCGAATGAAGTCGAATAAATTTCGTGCTTTAAATTGCTTCAAATTAATTTCTACTCTCAAATTCATTTAGAGTAATTTATTTTGAATGAGTTCGAGATCGTTTTAATCAGTCAAGTTGATGTAAACTAGTTTCGATAGCTCAAAATTCATTTAAATAAATGTTTTTGTAATAGATTTGGAATAATTTTGGTAATATAAATTAGTTTTAATTAATATTGAGAATCGAACTTAGTGTAGATGCGAATTCTTCTTCAGAGGTTAACAAAAAACGGTATTTCATGTGTCACTTCTCTTGTCCAGACAAGAAATGCAAATATGTTTTCATCTCTCGAATCCTCGCTCGCCCGAGGTGAGTCGCCTTCCGACTTGCACATCCTTCTACTGGAAGTTCAGGCTGTTTAAAATGGAGAAGGACGATTCCACGTAATGGTCAGTTAGACAGAGAAATGTTTTGAGATCAACAATGTCATTTTAGTTCAACTCTCGCTCATTCTTGAAGGAAAAAAAACTCGAACTGCGAAAACATACAAAATGCGTGTGATTCCGTAACAATGATATTTTACCAATTTAAGCGTTAATTTCGGACCTGTAAAAATAATTTTTTTCAATCGATAACCCATGAACTTTTCTACAACATTTTCGCATAAAGAATAGAGATTAGCTGAGTTTTCGACAACTTTAAATCGTTTCGGAGTGGCTATTCCATTTTTGTTGATTCCGTGACGGTCGATATTTTTCTTCAGCCACATAGTCAAACTTAACAGAAATTTTAGAGACTGTCGACCACGTTATTAGACAGATTTGGTAAGAATTTAACCCTTTGACACCCGAATTTTTTCTACTGAACCAAATTTGATGAAACTTGGTATAAACTAACTACTCTCCGTTTCAAAATGGTTGGCACTCGGTTGCTTTTTGAATAACTTTTGATAGGAATGAGATAGAGACCTGCGATTTTCGCTGTTCAATAGCCAAGACTTGAACTGGCCCATACCAGTGATAGAGTAGAGATGTATCATTGGCCCGTTGCTGTATGTTATTCACGATATTTATTCTCAGTGTACAACATGAATCATAAAGATCCGCTAGTACTTTATGTCTTAAGTGGTATCTCATTTCC